CACCATCACCAGATACTCACCACCACTCACCACCTGCCACTACTCACCACCTGATACACCATCACCAGATACTCACCACTCACCACTCACCACCTGCCACTACTCACCACCTGATACACCATCACCAGATACTCACCACTCACCACTCACCACCTGCCACTACTCACCACCTGATACACCATCACCAGATACTCACCACCACTCACCACCTGCCACTACTCACCACCTGATACACCATCACCAGTTACTCACCACTCACCACTCACCACCTGCCACTACTCACCACCTGATACACCATCACCAGATACTCACCACTCACCACCTGCCACTACTCACCACCTGATACACCATCACCAGATACTCACCACTCACCACCTGCCACTACTCACCACCTGATACACCATCACCAGATACTCACCACCACTCACCACCTGCCACTACTCACCACCTGCCACTACTCACCACCTGATACACCATCACCAGATACCACTCACCACTCACCACCTGCCACTACTCACCACCTGATACACCATCACCAGATACTCACCACTCACCACCTGCCACTAGTCACCACCTGATACACCATCACCAGATACTCACCACCACTCACCACCTGCCACTACTCACCACCTGCCACTACTCACCACCTGATACACCATCACCAGATACTCACCACTCACCACCTGCCACTACTCACCACCTGATACACCATTACCAGATACTCACCACTCACCACCTGCCACTACTCACCACCTGATACACCATCTCTAGATACTCACCACTCACCACCTGCGACTACTCACCACCTGATACACCATCACCAGATACTCACCACTCACCACTCACCACCTGCCACTACTCACCACCTGATACACCATCACCAGATACTCACCACTCACCACCTGCCACTACTCACCACCTGATACACCATCATCAGATACTCACCAGTCACCACTCACCACCTGCCACTACTCACCACCTGATACACCATCACCAGATACTCACCACTCACCACCTGCGACTACTCACCATCTGATACACCATCACCAGATACTTACCACTCACCACCTGCCACTACTCACCACCTGATACACCATCACCAGATACTCACCACCACTCACCACCTGCCACTACTCTGCACCTGATACACCATCACCAGGTACTCACCACCACTCACCAGACACCACTCACTACTCACCACAATTCTGCCCATATTTCTACTGCACTGCGAAATGCAAACGCCTTGTGACGCGCGCCCAACTCCATTTGATTTTGCAATGCGCATAAGTGCATCGGCAGTGTACACGGAGTATAAACTTTTGCAATCTGCATGCACGAGAGCGGTTTTTGTCCGGCTCCGCGAGGAGATACAAGGGCGTCCGAGTGCCTTACAACGAGCACCACCATTGCACCACCACCGCACTACCCCAACGCCACGTTCATCAACACATCATCACTTCCACCACCACTACACGCCAAGACAAAATATTCCACGTGCAGCCTTGTTGGGGCAAGATGAACAGGCAGCAGCAGCGCCTGTGAAGGCTGCCGGCACTGTGGCACACGAGGGGGGTGGGTGGCCAGCAAACCACGACCGGACCCGTCTTTGTCTCCCTGGAACGAAGTTTAACGCAGCGCAACCGGTACTCACTTGAGGCTGAGTCTACCTAGGAGAGGCCCAGTGCCGATTTAGATCATCGTCGCAGATGTTGGTGGCCGTGAGCGGGATTCGAAATCGGGTATCCGGGTTCGAATCTCAGCGCGCTAACCGCTACACCACCGGTCCCCATACACACACAGACATCTCACACACAGAGATATCTCACACACAGATATCTATCACACACACAGACATCTCACACACACAGACATCTCACACAGACATCTCACACAGACATCTCACACACAGACATCTCACACACACAGACATCTCACACAGACATCTCACACAGACATCTCACACACACAGACATCTCACACACACACATCTCACACACAGACATCTCACACACACACAGACATCACACACACAGACATCTCACACACACAGACATCTCACACACACACAGACATCTCACACACACACACAGACATCTCACACAGACATCTCACACAGACATCTCACACAGACATCTCACACACACACAGACATCTCACACACAGAGATATCTCACACACAGATATCTATCACACACACACAGACATCTCACACACACAAACATCTCACACACACACACAGACATCTCACACACACACAGACATCTCACACACACAGACATCTCACACACACACAGACATCTCACACACACACAGACATCTCACACACACACATCTCACACAGACATCTCACACACACACAGACATCACACACACAGACATCTCACACACACACAGACATCTCACACACACAGACATCTCACACACAGACATCTCACACACACAGACATCTCACACACACACAGACATCTCACACACACAGACATCTCACACAGACACAGACATCTCACACACACAGACATCTCATACACACACAGACATCTCACACACACAGACATCTCACACACACAGACATCTCACACAGACATCTCACACACACACAGACATCTCACACACACACATCTCACACAGACATCTCTCACACACACAGACATCACACACACAGATATCTCACACACACAGACATCTCACACACACACAGACATCTCACACACACACAGACATCTCACACACACACAGACATCTCACACACACACAGACATCTCACACAGACATCTCACACAGACATCTCACACAGACACAGACATCTCACACACACACAGACATCTCATACACACACAGACATCTCACACACACACAGACATCTCACACAGACATCTCACACAGACATCTCACACACACACAGACATCTCACACACACACAGACATCTCACACACACACATCTCACACAGACATCTCACACACACACAGACATCACACACACAGATATCTCACACACAGACATCTCACACACACACAGACATCTCACACACACACAGACATCTCACACACACACAGACATCTCACACAGACATCTCACACAGACATCTCACAGAGACATCTCACACACATAGATATCTCACACACACAGACATCTCATACACACAGACATCTCACACAGACATCTCACACACACACAGACATCTCACACACACAGACATCACACACACAGACATCTCACACACACATCACACACACACATCACACACACACATCACACACACACAGACATCACACACACACAGACATCACACACACACAGACAAACATCACACACACACACAGACATCACACACAGACATCACACACACAGACATCACACACACACAGACATCTCACACACACACAGACATCACACACACACATCACACACACACATCACACAGACATCACACACACACATCACACATATACATCACACACACAGACATCACACACACACAGACATCACACACAGACATCACACACACACAGACATCACACACACACAGACATCACACACACAGACATCACACACACACAGACATCACACACACAGACATCACACACAATCACACACACACAGACATCACACACACAGACATCACACACACACACAGACATCACACACACACATCACACACACACAGACATCACACACACACAGACATCACACACACACAGACATCACACACACAGACATCACACACACAGACATCACACACACACAGACATCACACACACAATCACACACACAGACATCACACACACACACAGACATCACACACACAGACATCACACACACACACATCACACACACACAGACATCACACACAGACATCACACACACAGACATCACACACACACAGACATAACACACACATCACACACACACAGACATCACACACACACATCACACACACACACATCTCACACACACACAGACATCACACACAGACATCACACACAGACATCACACACACAGACATCACACACAGACATCACACACACAGACATCACACACAGACATCTGTGTGTGTGCTTGGATAGTGCCGCGCGATAACCGCTACATTACCGCTCCCAACCCACTTATCACCACCACCACCAATACAGTACACCACTACAGTACACCACTACAGTACACCAATGCATCACAAACATCACCACCACCAGACATCTCACACACACACAGACATCTCACACACACAGACATCTCACACACACAGACATCTTACACACACACAGACTTCTCACACATCACACACACACAGACATCTCACACACACACACCATCACCACTACTACTACACCACCACCAATACACCATCACCACTACTACTACACCGCCACCACCAATACACCATCACTACTACTACACCGCCACCACCAATACACCATCACCACTACTACTACTACACCGCCACCAATACACCATCACCACTACTACTACACCACCAATACACCAGTGGGTAGTGAGTGGTGAGTGAGTGGGTGGTGAGTGAGTGGGTGGTGAGTGATTGGGTGGTGAGTGAGTGGGTGGTGAGTGGGTGGGGAGTGAGTGAGTGGGTGGTGAGTGGGTGGTGAGTGAGTGAGTGGGTGGTGAGTGAGTGTGTGGGTGGTGAGTGAGTGGGTGGTGAGTGAGTGGGTGGTGAGTGAGTGGGTGGTGAGTGAGTGGTGAGTGAGTGAGTGGGTGGTGAGTGAGTGGGTGAGTGAGTGAGTGAGTGGGTGGTGAGTGAGTGGGTGGTGAGTGAGTGTGTGGGTGGTGAGTGAGTGGGTGGTGAGTGAGTGGGTGGTGAGTGGTGAGTGGGTGGTGAGTGAGTGAGTGGGTGAGTGAGTGAGTGGGTGGTGAGTGGGTGGTGAGTGAGTGGGTGGGTGAGTGAGTGAGTGGTGAGTGGGTGGTGAGTGAGTGAGTGGTGAGTGAGTGAGTGGGTGGTGAGTGAGTGGTGAGTGGGTGGTGAGTGGGTGGTGAGTGCGGCCGCCTCACCCGGGATTTCGCGAAGTCGCTGACTCCGTTCACGAACTTGGAGGCCATGGGCCCGACTCTGGAGCGGCAACACGCAGAGTGGAGCGGGGCGTGGGGGGGTGAGTGCTGTGTGTGTGTGCTGTGTGTGTCAGAGGTGTGTGTGTGTGTGTGCTGCGTGTGTGAGTGAGTGCTGTGTGTGTGAGAGAGTGCTGTGTGTGTGAGGGAGTGCTGTGTGTGTGAGAGAGTGCTGTGTGTGTGAGTGAGTGCTGTGTGTGTGTCAGAGTGCTGTGTGTGTGAGGGAGTGCTGTGTGTGTGTCAGAGGTGTGTGTGTGTGAGAGCTGTGTGTGTGTGAGAGCTGTGTGTGTGTGAGAGCTGTGTGTGTGTGTGTGAGAGGTGTGTGTGTGAGAGCTGTGTGTGTGTGTGAGAGCTGTGTGTGTGTGAGAGGTGTGTGTGAGTGAGAGCTGTGTGTGTGTGAGTGCTGTGTGTGTGTGAGAGGTGTGTGTGAGTGAGAGCTGTGTGTGAGTGAGTGCTGTGTGTGTGTGTGAGAGAGCTGTGTGTGTGTGTGAGAGCTGTGTGTGTGTGTGAGAAAGTTGTGAGAGCGCTGTGAGAGAGCTGTTGCTGCAAGAGAGAGCTGTGTGAGCTGTGTGAGTACTGAATGTGTGAGTGCTGTGTGTGAGAGCGAGAAAGTTGTGTGTGAGGGAGCTGTTGCTGCAAGAGAGAGCTGTGTGAGCTCTGAATGTGTGAGAGAGCTGTGTGTGTGTACGGTGGAGAGCTGAGTGTGTGTGTGAGAGTGGGCTTGCTGTGCGCGTGTGTGCGTGTGAGAGAGGCGTGTGTGTGTGTGAGAGAGATAGCTGAGTGTGTGTGAGAGAGGCGTGTGTGTGTGAGAGAGGCGTGTGTGTGTGTGAGAGAGGCGTGTGTGTGTGTGAGAGAGATAGCTGAGTGTGTGTGTGAGAGAGGCGTGTGTGTGTGAGAGAGGCGTGTGTGTGTGTGAGAGAGATGTGTGTGTGAGAGATGTCTCTGCGTGTGTGTGAGATGTCTGTGTGTGTGTGTGATGTCTGTGTGTGTGAGATGTCTGTGTGTGTGTGTGAGATGTCTGTGTGTGTGAGAGATGTCTGTGTGTGTGAGATGTCTGTGTGTGTGATGTCTGTGTGTGAGAGATGTCTGTGTGTGTGAGATGTCTGTGTGTGTGTGAGATGTCTGTGTGTGTGTGAGATGTTTGTGTGTGTGAGATGTCTGTGTGTGTGTGAGATGTCTGTGTGTGAGATGTCTGTGTGTGAGATATCTGTGTGTGTGTGATGTCTGTGTGTGTGAGAGATGTCTGTGTGTGTGAGATGTCTGTGTGTGTGTGAGATGTTTGTGTGTGTGAGATGTCTGTGTGTGTGTGTGAGATGTCTGTGTGTGTGATGTCTCTGTGTGTGAGAGATGTCTCTATGTGTGTGAGAGATGTCTGTGTGTGTGTGATGTCTGTGTGTGTGTGAGATGTCTGTGTGTGTGATGTTTCTGTGTGTGTGAGAGATGTATGTGTGTGAGAGATGTATCTATGTGTGTGAGAGATGTGTGTGTGTGATGTCTGTGTGTGTGAGATGTCTGTGTGTGTGATGTCTCTGTGTGTGTGTGAGATGTCTGTGTGTGAGAGATGTCTCTGTGTGTGAGAGATGTCTGTGTGTGTGTGTGAGAGATGTCTGTGTGTGTGAGATGTCTGTGTGTGTGTGATGTCTGTGTGTGAGATGTCTCTGTGTGTGTGAGAGAGATGTCTGTGTTTGTGTGGGGAACGGTGGTGTAGCAGTCAGCGCGCTGAGATACGAACCCGGATTCCCGAGTTCGATTCCCGCTCACGGTCACAAACACCGGTGACGATTATCTGAACCGGTCCTGGGCCTCCCCTAGGTCGACTCAGCCTCAAACGAGTACCTGGTGCGGTGTGTAAACATCTCCACTGGGGAGACAAAGGCGGTCGTTCGTGTTGCTGGCCACCCACCCCTTCGTGTGCCGAAGGGGTGGGTGGCCAGCAACAGCACTTGCCCCTACAGTCTGTTAAGGCTACACGGGGGGATCTGTGTGTGCGCAGCGTGTGTACCGCACCTCCGACTAGCACGGTTGGCTTAGTACGGCGCTAAAGAAGTTCAACTTGGGCAAACTGCACGACAACAGTCAACCTCGTGCGGTGGTCGCCAAGTGCGGGTCGGGTGACGGTGGTCCGAGCCGCACGCCACGCGGTTTCGCTTTGTGCGCCCCTGTGTTTTTGTAACGCATCTACTACCGCATAAAGCGAGGCAAACCTGTGGCTGCGCGTGCGTGAGAGATGGAGAGCGGGGAGGAGGAGGAGGGGGAGCTGTGCGTAAAATATATATATCTCTGAAGAGGTTTTCCGAACCTCCTCTAGGTCGACTCAGCCTCAATAGCCGAGTGTGTAAAACGGCAAATGTGCCTTGCTCCACACAACCCCGGCAATCGCGTTGCGTTGCCGGACCCACATAGGTGCTCGCTAACAGCACTTTCGGGCTCAACATTCTGTTGAAGGGCTGTACGGCGTTGGGGAGGAGGAGGTGGGGAGAGAGATAGTTGTCTTTGTGCGAGAGAGGGAGGGCTATTTGTGTGTGTGACAGAGGGCTCTCCGTAGAGCTCTGTTGTAGATGAGTGTCGAGCACCCCCCCACCACCACCACCACCCCTCTCTCTCTGTGTAACTGTATACGTGCTAAATATTGGTTTCAAGCTTTCGTGACTGCAGGGATTCATATTCTTGGTTCTTTCGGTAATAAAATTATAAAACAATAATATTTTATATTTTTATTTATTATTTTATTGTTTCCCTTCTACGTGACTTTACCGAAAGAACCAATAATATGTATACGTGCTGTGTGTGTGTGTGTGCAGGAGAGGGTTGGTTGTGGGTGTGTACATGATGTGTGTGTGTGTGAGAGGGGAGCGGTAGTGTAGCGGTTAGCGCTACTGCTGCGCTACGAACCCGGCGACCCGAGTTCGATTCCCTGCTCACGGCCAACACCGGTGACGATTATTTCATCCGCTTCTGGGCCTCCCCCTAGGTCCACTCAGCCTCAAATGAGCACCTGGTGCGGTGTGAAAACATCGCGACAAAGGCGGCCGGGCGTGGTTTGCTGGCCACCCACCCCCTCGCGTGCCGTGCCGGCCTTCATCGGTGCTGCTCGCTAACAGCAACTTGCCCCGACAGTCTTGTTAAGGCTGCACGGTGGGTTGGGAGCATTGTGTCTGTCTAACTGCGTGAGAGTGGCTAAGACACACAGCGAGTTGGCTCAGTGGGGGGCGGGGGGGATGTGATAGAGGCGTGACATTTGCTAGGCATCTCAGTAAGTTCACCCGGGTGTGTCCCGTGACCTCCTGCCAGCAGGGAGCCTTCCACGGCACACGCTGTTGTGTCTCTCTGTGTTGTTGTCTTCCTGTGTCGCTGTACATCTGTGAGGGTGTCCGTGTGTGTGTGTGCGTCTCTGTGGAGCGCCGGGTGGCTAAAGCACAGCACAGCAAGTTGGCACAGTAGGGGGCACACAGGAGATTCGCATCAGCCAGTCGTCTCAGTCAGTCGACCCGTGGCACCTGGGTCTGCCCCTTGACCTCCTTGCCAGCGGCGAGACTTCCACGCTTCCCTTGACGGCCTCAAAGTGTACCTAGCCTGGCACCGTGAAGCCGGGTTAGCGGTGGCGCAGTGGTGAGCACACTGGGCCTCCATCCCGACGATCCGAGTTCGATTCAGGCTCACGGCCAACATCGGCGACGAGTATCTTAACCGGCCCTGGGCCCTCGCCAAGGTCGACTCGGCCAGAAATGAATGCGTACCCGGTGCTGATGTGTAAACAGCATCGGCACGGGGGAGACAAAGGCGGCTCGGCGTGGTGCTGGCCACCCCCGCTCCATTTGTGTGCCGTGTCGGCCTTAAATTAATATCTGTACATCAAAGAAACATTTACAATGTAATTCTCATCAGGTGCTACCAACAGCTTCTTGTTGTGCCATGAAAAAGGACCATTGCCCGAAACGTCACCTATTTTATATTTATTCCGTTTCAGGCCACACACACACTGTTACTGACGAATGCGTTGAGCTTCATTTTTAAATAGTAATTTATTATTTGGCCTTAATAGGTGCTCGCTAACAGCACTGGTGACGTCACCCTGGCCGCGGGGAGCGGTGGCGCAGCGGTTAGCGCGCTGCCCTGCACCACGAATCCGACAGAGACCCGAGTTCGATTCACCGCTCACGGTCAACGTCAGGTGACGATTATCTTCAAATGAGTAACCTGGTGCGGCGTGTGAACATCGCCACGAGGGTTGGGCGTGGTGCTGTGGCCACCCAAACCCACCTCCCACAGGTGATGCTCGCTCACGGCTACACGGGGGATATTCGGTTCAGATTGAACCGGGCTAACCGAGTGTCGCTGATGTCAGCACAGCCACCGATGACTGCGGGCGCACGATGAGGCCCGTGGCTCGAGTTCGATTCCGCGACGGAAGGAAGCCAAATTCCAGCCATGAGAATTACAAACAAAAATATATCCCGGCTCGAGCGCGGAGTAACGGGGGGAGGGGGCGGGGCAGCTGGGAGGGCTGCTAATTAGGGGGCGGGGCAGCTGGGAGGGGACTACTAATTAGGGGGCAGGGCAGCTGGGAGGGCTGCTAACTAGGGGGCGGGGCAGCTGGGAGTGGACTACTAACTAGGGGGCGGGGCAGCTGGGAGAGGGCTGCCCCCTACTGCTGCGTGAAGCAGGTTTCAACATCCAGGCAGGAGTCCAAACCGCGACTCTCTTTATGTAAACACATTATTATGGGGCGATGCAGCGTTGGGCGGTGGTGCGCGCGCCCAATTAACAGGCAAAGCGCGCGTGCGTGCGTGTGGTGCGTGAGCGGCCTTCATTAAGGAAAACGATATAGTCGGGCGACGTTTCAGGCAATGGTCCTTTTTGAGTCGGATAGAACTGGGTGTGGGAGAAAACTGTTGATGTGTACGAGAGTAAATTACCCTTATTCATCGCAATTGGGCCGTTACCCGAAACGTCGCCTATTATATTGTTGTTCTTTTTAAGGTCACACACATGTCACTGACAAATGCGCTGGCGAGCGTCGTGTCGAGGCGTGTTGTGGGTTTACTCTGCAGCACAACCAAGTGTGCTGAAGTTGTAACTCATTGGCACGTTTTGTTCACGTGACAAACCTTACATATTGACTGTCGGGTGGTGGCGGGTTCACGACACATTGTATATGTTAACGCGATCCAACCCCAAAACGATCCATTCATTATGAATATTGGTCGTGAAATCCGACGACTGGGTGTTAAAACACGACACCACCACTCACCCATGCCACGCCTCACGGTTCCCGAACCCTTGGAAAAAAGTTCGGGCGGTGGTGATGGCTGTGTGATGCACGTGGCTGCCTGTAGTCCTGCACCGCGTGGAGGCATGAGCAACGAGGGGTTGGTGGATCACCGCACCGATGGTGCTAAGCTCCCTTCTTCCCGTGAGCACCGAGGAAGTCGAGGAGCCGTACCCCGACTCGCCATGCGAAGACGGCAGAGCAACGACGCGGGCTTCCCACCTCTTCCGTGTGTGGGATACAGCGTTTCCCCCTCGCTCGAACACGTGTCTCCGGACACTCAGGTTTCCTCCCACGTGTATAATACACACTCAGCAATTGGCCCGCAATACCTTCGTATATAGAGGGGACCGCAGAGCTTAAGCAACTGTTGGCACCAGCTCAACGCGTGGCTGCTGCCGCTGCTGCCTTCCTTGCTCGTCCGTGGTTCTTCCTGGCGCCTCTGAGTTGTCTACTCTGTCTCTCTCTCTCGTCTGTGGTTCATCCACCTCCTCCTGGAGCCTCTGAGTCGTCTGCTCTGTCTCTCTACGACAGCGATGCCATGCGGCGCAAGCAGTGGTGTTTACCTGTTGACATTCCGGTACTATTGTGAACTAAACTTTTACTTTATTTCATTTTACTAGGTAAGGCCCACTGAGCTACGTAGCTCTATGGCAGAAGTGACCTGGCTATCACAAATGATAGCCTCAACAAAGTGGCTCGTCATCACGTGGAGATGCATAGTAGCCAATTACTCTAAACGCGTGATGTTGATTCTAAATGCGGAGGGGGGGAAAAAAACCGGAAGGACCCGGAGAAAAATCCACGCGACCACGGAGAGAAAGCATGCAAACTCCAACTATACAGGCGTTGGGGTAGAACCCACCGCACTCCGACATGCCAGGTCGAGAGGGGGGTTAACATCTCGTCACTTCGGGGCCCCATTAGTCTCGGACGTGGGATGTTGTAAACGGTGAAGAGTGGTACTGCCGCTTTCTCTCACCTCGCCTTGAACGCCTCCTTCCCGTCAGCCAGGGTTTCTGGGCAGTTCTGCCCCGTTCATAATAAAGTTTTTCTTGTTGGGTTAGAGCGTGGAAGTATAACTGTGTCGTTAACACACTACTACCCGACAGAGCAAATTAGTAGGGTTTGTCACGTAAACAAAACGTGCCAATTAGTTGCTACTTCAGCACACCAGTGTGTTAAAAAGAGAGTAAACCTCACATTTATAATTTGAGTACGACGTTTCGCTGGTGATTACAACCAGCTACATCAGGCGATTTCCCAGAATTGAATATTCGCTGGTGATTACAACCAGCTTCATCAGGCGATTTCCCATCATTGAATACTCGCTGGTGATTACAACCAACTTCATCAGGCGATTTTCCAGAATTGAATAATCCCTGGTAATTACAACCAGCTTCATCAGGCGATTTTCCATAATTGAATATTCGGTGGCGATTACAACCAGCTTCATAAGGCGATTTTCCATAATGGAATAATTGCTGGTGATTACAACCAACTTCATCAGGCGATTTTCCAGAATTGAATACTCGCTGGTGATTACAACCAGCTTCATCAGGCGATTTGCCAGAATGTAATTATGTAGACGTTGTACTCACATAGTAAATGTTGTGGCGTGTTTACTCTCCAACACACAGCCGGTGTGTTGGAGTCGTAACTCATTGGCACAATTTGTTTACGCGACAATTCCGACTAATTGGCCGTGCTGGGTGGTGGTGGTGGTGGCGGGTTAACGACACATTTATATTCACGTGAGATCTAACCCGTAACGCCTTTATTATGAACAGAGCACTGGTGTTAAATTGACATTCGCCCCGGATACCGGGCAAGGCCATAGCAGCGGCATTCGCCTCAGTCCTGAACCGCACCAATTTCCCCTCCGCACGAGGAGGACAAGACGATGGATCGGTTAAATCGCGTAAATATGCAATGTGTCGTTAAGCCCGCCACCACCCGATACAGCCAATTTGTTAAGGTTTGTCACGTAAACAAAAAGGTGCCAATTCGTCACGAGCACAGCAAACAGCCGGTTGTGGGTTGTAGAGTAAACACACCACAACATTTACAACTCGACACATTGTAAATTCACGCCATCTAACCAAAAAAAAACAACCCTCTATTGCGGATAATATTGTTCGCGAAAGCCTACTGCTTAATCGGTGTTAAAGCTGAAATTCTCGCGTGCCAACTCTTCTCACTCGAGTCAGCGGCGGCTTGGTTCAGAAGTTGCTGCCCTCTACTGACCCAGCCGGAGAGCGCTCGCTCGCTCGCTCGCCCCCACTCTCGTTTATCGCAGAGGTTCGCGGTTGGAATCCAGGGGCCGCCCTGGATTAATACTGCGGTACTGACAAACCGTGGACGATTGGAGAGCCCGCGACGACGCTCCCAAGAGTCGGGCCGCGGTGCGACGGCATCGCCACCGGCTCTTAATTTTTCCAATTTAGTTTTTGTTGGCAAATTACCCGATTGGGATTACACATGGCCAATATCCCGTCCGCCGCCCCCACCCCCCTCCCCGCTGCGAAAACTTGACAGGATCCTCCCGATAAAAAAAAGGAGTCTTGAGACTCGGCGAGGTTTTCCCCGGGTAAATAATCGTAAATAAAACCTCCAACGGCTAAATAAGACATCCAGGCTGCTGCTGCTAGTGTTAGGGAGGATTCAAAGGGGCATTTCTACCCCCCCCCCCCCCCCCATTTGTAACCGAGGGTGAGGCGTGGAGGTTACAAACGGCCGGCTAGATAATGGTTAGGGGGACGATTCCTATCCTCTCCTCCCGTCGCGGTAGCCGAAACACTGGGGCGAGCCTCTTGAATCAGCCCACCACCCCCCCGTGTCGCGTGCTGTAGGGTAAAGTGTGGGTAGCTCCAACCTCTTCCGAGATGTATATTTTTGTGTGTGCAGTCATTGGTTACCAGGCCGAGACGATAAACTCACTGTACTTGAGAACCCGTTTTAATCACAACTCACGTCTATGTGTCTCGATGCGAGTCTATGGGTCTCTATGCAAGTCTACGGGTCTCAGTCTATGGGTCTCTATACAACTCTTGAGAACCCGGTTTAATCACAACTCACGTCGATGTGTCTCTATGCGAGTCTATGGGTCTCTATACAACTCTATGGGTCTATATGCGAGTCTATGGGTCTCTTTGGGAGTCTATGGGTCTCTATGCGAGTCTATGGGTCTCTATGCTAGTCTGTGGGTCTCTGTACAAGTCTATTGGTCTCTTTGTGAATCTATGGGTCTCTATGGGAGTCGATGGGTCTCTATGCGAGTCGATGGGTCTTTGTGTAAGTATATGGGTCTCTATGCGAGTCGATGGGTCTCTGTGTAAGTCTATGGGTCTCTATGCGAGTCTATGTGATTGTACAGGTCTATGGCTCGCTATGTGCGTCTATGGTTCTCTATGCGAGTCTATGGGTCTCTGTGAAAGTCATTGGCGACCGGGCTGAGACCATCAAGTCACTGCACTTGAGATACCCCGTGTGATCGCTGTGGTTGGGGCGGAAACCCGGACTGTAACCCAGGATCCCAGCGGAGCCGGCTCCGCGTCCCTGACCTCTGCGCCACCACCCGGCCCCCTCGGCTTTCAGTCTAAATGGGGGGTGTGAACGACACAATAACAACGCAATAACATTTTTAGACTTAAAACTTTCGTGCATGCAGGAAATCATATTCTTGGTTCTTTCGGTAAAAGCCACGTACATAGAAAACAAAAAATAAAGGCAAAAAACCCACGACGTTTCGATGGCAACACAAAGCAGTCTTCATCAGGCGATGAAGACCGCTTTGTGTTGCGATCGAAACGTCGTGGATTTTTTGCCTTTATTTTTTTGTTTTCTATGTACGTGGCTTTGCCGAAAGAACCAAGAATATGAACACAATAGCAACTAAAGCAACACACCACACACACGTTTCTGTTGTGACGGGGATTCTTTCCAACCACCCCACCCCCCCCAATTTTACAGATTTGACTAACAAATAAAAACAACAATAACAACAATAATAACAAACGTTTAAGCAACACACAAACGAGACTAAACGCATCTACTGGGCAGACCGTAACAGCCCAGGAAGGTGAGAGGCGACGGTGACTGTAGGGAAAGAAAGGCCTTCATTCAGCAGTGGATTGATCATGGCTGCTGCTGCTGATGATGATGATGATGAACCCACAGGCCCCGGAATCACGGACGTGCGGTAACTATGGTGGATGTAATTTCTGTTCACAACACGCGTCAAACGCCCGGCGTGACGATTATCGCGATATCGGCGTAGATCACGGTGAGGTCTCGGAGTACGTGGTGGGGGTTAGGTTCCGTGTACCCCCCCCCCCTCCACCCGCGTAAACGCAAATTCGCGTAATCTGGGGGTGTTTAAATCTCGACTTAAAGCTTTCGTGACTGCAGGAATTCAGATTGTTTGGCTCTTTCGGTAAAGTCACGTAGATAGGTTCAAAGAAAATAACAAAAAAATAACCTTCTGGGTTCTTTCTATAAAGTCACGTAGAATGGAGATAAAATTTAAAAAAATAATAATAACAGAATAAAAGTCTCACGACGTTTCGGCCACAACACAAGTAGCCTTCCTCAGGTGAAGAAACAGGACTTGTGTGAGAATTTTATTGTTATTATTTTTTTATTATTATTTTATCTCCATTCTACGTGACCTTACCGAAAGAACCCAGAAGATGAATCCCTGCAGTCACGAAAGCTTTAAATCGAAATGTAACTATCTACGTGACTTTACTATACAGTACGAGGTCACATAATGTGAAGGTGAATCGGGGGGGGGGGGGGGGGGGGGGCGGGGGACGTCGATTCGTAAGTCTCGATCATTCGATTAAGTTTCTGCGTACCGCGTATGCCGTCCGGGAATACAAATTCATTTATAACGGTCGCGAATATTCTACGCGGCCGATTGACGATGCGGTCATCGTGGTGCTTGCATCGTGGCATCGTGGAATCGCGAACCCCACATCGACGGGGTCACCGCCGCCGGGCCACGCCCACGTCACAATCTCATGAGCGTGATTGGCCAACGTACGGTGCCAAAGAAGTTCAACGTACGAGACGACGTCACAATCGACGAAGACGACGTCAAGATCAACGAGGCGACGTCAAGATCAGCGCGATGTCACGATGAAGCCAATGACGTCACAATCAACGAGACGACGTCAAGATCGACGAGGCGACGTCAAGATCAGCGCGATGTCACGATGAAGCCAATGACGTCACAATCAACGAGACGACGTCAAGATCGACGAGGCGACGTCAAGATCAGCGCGATGTCACGATGAATCCAATGACGTCACAATCAAAGTGATGTCACAATCAAGGCGATGACGTCACAATCAACGCGACGACGGCAAAATGAACGCGACGTCAAGATCAAGGCGACATCACAATCAAGGCGATGACGTCACAATCAACGCGACGACGGCAAAATGAACGCGACGTCAAGATCAAGGCGACATCACAATCAAGGTGATGACGTCACAACCAACGCGACGACGTGACAATGCAACGTCACAATTAAGACGACGACGTCGCAAAGTGTCGACGTCAACATCAAGGCAACGACGTCAAAATAAATGCAATGACGTCACAGTCAAGGCAAGGCACCAGTGTTGCAATCGCTGGAAATTTGATTCGTTCGCCCGGCGCAGCAGGCCGATGCTGCTCCACGCCTCCTTCAAGAAGGCAAAAAATGAAAGCCACAGCCCGTGCAGCAACAGCACCCAGCACCGTGGGTCTGCACTCCTTCAAAGACGGAGGAGGAGGAGGAGGAGGAGTGGAAACGGCGAAACGACGCAAACTCTCTCTCTGCTTGAAGCTCTCTCGTCGTTGACCAGCAGCAGCAGCAGCAGCAGGCCTCGAGATTGGCCGTGGAGCTCCTGAACCACACCAACGCCGATGCTGCCGATGCTGCCGAACGCCGCCGTGCGCAGGAGCAGAACACATTCCGTTCACTTTGTGTCCATCAAACCAACTTGAGTCGGAGATCAACGAGGGTGTTGTGATCGTTGGTAGCGGTGCTTGAATCATCATCATCATCATGATGACCCTGCCAGACGGCCCGTGCGTCGCAACTGTTCCACCGCCGTCAGCACCGGCGTCGTCCGGGATCGATGCAAGGGTCGAGGTCGATCGTGGCCCCCCCAACCCCCCCACTCCTCCCCGCTGCCGCCACCGTTCACTTTGTCTTTTTGTGCCTGACCGCGGCCGCCAGGCTGCGTCGCAAGAACGCGGCCGTGGCCTCCAGGGCCTCCTCGCCGCAGCGGAAGGCGATGATGGGCCGCGAGCAGAGCCAGCACACGGGACTTGGCCAAAACCACGCGCACAGCCAGCACGGCCCGCTGCTCGGAGGCCGCTCGGCACCGTCGCCGCCGCCACCTCCTCCGTCGTCGTCGTCGTCGTCGTCGTCACTGTCATCGTCGTCATCAGCAGCACGGTCGGAGGATTCATCGTCATCGTCGTCGTCGTCGGCATCATCATCATCAGCAGCAGCAGCAGCAGGGTTGTTGTCATTGGTGGCAGCGACGTGACGGGTGCGAGTGCGTCCGCCGCCACCGCTGCCATCGTCGTCGTCGCCGTGAACATCAACCGCACCGACTCCGCCACCCCGAACACGGCCATCGGCTCCGCCATCGCCGCCGCCACGAACGGGACCTCCATCAACTCCGCCGCCATCGCCGCCGTCACGAACGGGACCTCCATCAACTCCGCCGCCATCGCCGCCATCGCCGCCGGGCCACCCCGCGGCCACGCCCCGCTCGTCCCTCCCGTAGAAGTTGAGGACGCCGTGGAAGCCGTGGGCCGCGTGGTGCCGCGTCACGTGCAGGCCGCAGCGGCGGGCGCGTGCCGCCAGGGCCCGGGCCTCGTCGCGCAGCACGTCGTGCTCGCAGCTCAGCACCAAGAGGCGGCGCGGGAGGCGGCGCAACCACCCGTCGCCCACCGCCAGCGGGCACAGCAGGGGGTCCAAGCAGGCGCGCGCCACCGAGGAGAGGCCCGGGGGAGGCCGCCGCTCCGCGCCGCTGTCGGCCGCGGCGAGACTGGTGGTGTTGCCGCCGCCGCCGCCACCGACACCACGATCATCATCACGGGTGTCGTACACACCGTAGCCGCCTTCGCCGATGCCACTAGCGAAGCCGGCAAAGCCACGCTCGGTACCTCCTCCACCGACACCTCCTCCACCGACACCTCCTCCACCGACACCTCCTCCATCAGCGTAATATTCCGACGCCTTCCCGCCAGCGTCACCCACGGCGCCGTGGGTGGCGCCGGGCACCCGACACGGCGTGACGCCTCCCGGCTGAGACCTTCTCATCTTCCTCATCCTCCTCCTCATCCTTCCCACGCTGGGATCCTCGCGCGTGGAGGCTGTGAACCCGTGGGCCGCTCCCTCCTCTCCACCCTCTTGCGCCGCCACCGCCGCCTCCTCCTCCTCCTCCTGCACGAGGGCCCGGAGGCCGGCGCGGTGACGCGGGGAGCTGTGGAGCCCCTTCAGCACGGCCGGCACGAGCTCCTGCGGGAGCAGCGGGAGGCGCTGTTAAGACTGGGCTAGGTGGCACGTGACGAGGAGCGGTTACCGGGGAGGGGCGCAACGGTGAGTGCCGCTCAGCCCTCGTTACCAGCAGCAGTGTCACCAGCATCAGTGTCACCAGCAGCAGCGTCATCACCAGCAGCAGTGTCACCAGCAGCAGCGTCATCAACAGCGGCAGCAGCGTCATCACCAGCAGCAGTGTCACCAGCAGAAGCAGCGTCATCAGCAGCAGCAGTGTCACCAGCAGCAGCGTCATCACCAGCAGCATCATCACCAGCAGCAGTGTCACCAGCAGCAGCGTCATCACCAGCAGCAGTGTCACCAGCAGCAGCGTCACCAACAGCGGCAGCAGCGTCATCAACAGCAGCATCATCACCAGCAGCAGCGTCACCAACAGCGGCAGCAGCGTCATCAACAGCAGCGTCATCACCAGCAGCAGCGTCATCACCAGCAGCGTCATCACCAGCAGCAGTGTCACCAGCAGCAGCGTCATCAACAGCGGCAGCAGCGTCATCACCAGCAGCAGTGTCACCAGCAGCAGCAGTGTCATCAACAGCAGCAGTGTCACCAGCAGCAGTGTCACCAGCAGAAGCAGTGTCACCAGCAGCAGCGTCACCAGCAGAAGCAGCGTCATCACCAGCAGCGTCATCAGCAGCAGCGTCATCAGCAGCAACGTCGGCGGCAGCAGCGTCGGCAGCAGCAGCGTCATCACCAGTTGATTCATCAGCAGCACCGTTTGTGTTATCATCAGGGATGTGGTGGCTAGCAGTGCGACCACCATCTTGGTCGTCGCAAAGGCCATCGCCAGATCTGGTGCGTGCGACGATGTGTGTGGTACCAAGGGAAACGCCGACTCCTCCACCACCACCGCCATCACCACCTCCACCACCACCATCAACACCACCTCCACCACCACACCGCCATCACCACCTCCACCACCATCGCCACCACCACGACCACCACCATCAACACCACCTCCACCACCACCGCCACCACCACGACCACCACCATCAACACCACCTCCACCACCACCACCGCCATCACCACCTCCACCGCCCCTACTCACATCGGCACCGCCTCCCACCACCTCCATTGCCCCCGCCACGGCCCCCCGCCACGGCCCCCGCCCCCCACCCCACGGCGCCCCCCCCCCCGCCCCCGCACCTACTGCCCCCCGCTCCTGCGGCGCCCCCCTCCCTACACCGGCGACGCCCCTCCCCCTCCCACCACCCACCAACGCCCCCCGCACCTGCGGTGCCCCTATGTAGGCGAGGCAGAAGGCAGCGGTGCGTGCGCGCGACAGCACCGGCACCGAGTCGCTCTGGGCGTGCGACACCAGGTTCAGGTCGATCATCTGCAGCGACGGGTAGAGCAGCGCCAGCGCCACCGGCTGGGCCGAGGGGAGGGGCTGCGGTGGGGGGAGGGGCGAGAGAGAGGAGACAAGCGAGCGAGTAAACGGCTCCACAATTCTGGCTAATCGCCGGATGCGCCCGGTTGTTGTTGTTGTTGTTGTTGCGATTAACGGCGAAACGCCACGGTGCTCGGACCATAAACCGTCGTGGTGGGTTTACTCTCCAACACGCAACCGGCTAGTGCTGAACGCGTAACTAAATTGACACGTTTTTAGTTTAATAACACATTCATATTTGCTCCATCTAACCCAAAAAAAAAAACCCCTCTACGATGGATAACATTGGCCGTGAAAGCCCACTACACTAGGTGTTGAACTGGTTTAACACCCCCTGGGAGTGCGTATAGTTGGACGCGATGATTGTTGGCATGAGCCAAGTGTCGGCCCCACGGTTTGGGCCTGGTGACTCCACAGCGTACGACGCCTCCCAGAAGCGTACTCTGCAGCAGTGAGCGCTGCTGTATATGTCCACGTGATGATAAGCCAATTCGTTGGAGCTATCATTTGTGATGGCCAGGTGTCCTCTGAAAAATAAGCTAATAGCTCAGTGGGTTTTTAACCTGGTAAAATTAAACATAGATGTATATCTTTTTTTTTTCTCTGTGACTTGCTTACCTTTCCTATGTCGTGCTATTGTATTGTTGTTTGTTGTTTTTGTAACTTTCTGACCTGCCCTTACTGGACATCTGTGAAAACGAGCTTTATAGCTCATCGGATTCCTACAGTATATATATTCAGATTCTGGTGACTCACTGCTCCTGTGCTCATGAGTCCTGATGACGAGGAAACCCCCGTTCTATGGTTGTCTATCTCTGTCTCGCTCGGTCACAGTCGCTCAAGTTTATTTTCATCATTGCCGAAGACAACAAGGTCAACTATGCAGTTCTTCAGGAACTGCCGATGGTTTTGCACAATCCGCAAAGGGCCGAGTGCTTTTTCTCCGCCGTGTCTGTGCGCGTGTTGTTTAAAACTCATCGGTGTCGTTACATTTACATCATCATCATCATTTTCTGTCTCACTCACACCATCTCTCACTCACCCTCTCACCATTGCTCAATCACACTAACCTCTCACCCTCGCACTCACGCCATCTTTCACCTTCACTAAGCCCCGCCGTCCCGTGCGGGCGTCCCTGGCGAGTGTGAGCGCCACGGCGGTGGCGAGGTTTCCCCCCGCGCTGTCTCCGCACAGCGCCACCGGCCCAGCCGCCGCTGCCGCCCCCACGGTTCCGCCACCCAGTACAGAGCGCGCCACGCGCACGCAGTCGCCCAGCGGCACCGGGAACGGGTGCTCCGGGGCCAGCCGGTACCTGCCAGAGGGGGATCGCAAGAGACCGAAGGAAACCGGATTACATCAGTATGGGACCAGGTCAGATAAGTCCGGGACCAGATGAGACCAGATGAGATAAGTCCGGGAACCAGATGATGCCAGATTAGATCAGACTGGGACAGATTAAGTAAGTCTGGGAGCAGATTAGATCGGATTAGATATACGTCCAGGACCAGATGAGACCAGATTAGATCAGTCCGGGACCAGATGAGACCAGGTCAGATAAGTCCGGGAACCAGATGATGCCAGATTAGATCAGACTGGGATAGATTAAGTAAGTCTGGGAGCAGATTAGATCGGATTAGATATACGTCCAGGACCAGATGAGACCAGATTAGATCAGTCCAGGACCAGATGAGACCAGATAAGATAAGTCCGGGACCAGATGAGACCAGATTAGATCAGTCTGGGACCAGATGTCACCAGCTTTCACCAGATCAGACCATATTAGATTAATCTAAGAGAAGTTTAAACCAGATGGACCACATTACGCCACCACATATGACATGAATAATCCAGATGGGCACCGGACAAGATGAGACCAGAGTAGACCAGATAAGTCTGGGACAATACGAGACCAGGTTGAACCATATTATATTATTGTCATGCTAGTTTACCCAGGAAAAGCCTCACTGAGTCTCAGGACTCTTTTTGCAGGAGGGTCCTGCCAAGTGTTCACGGTAGGAGGGCGGTGTTGTTGCTGAGCGCGATCCCTACTGAGTGATTGTCAGGTCATATATTCAGCATTTTGGTGTTTAATCGATACCGGATGAGATGAAACAGGAAGTGATGAGAGGCCAGAGCAGAGCAAGTGAGACAAGTGAGACTGGGATTATCGATTAGCTTAGATAACACGGAATCACCATCATCGCTATCATCATTATCATCATCATCGATATGAGACTGCACGAAGAAACAAAGTACAGGTCAGAAGTGGAGTCTTGCACGGAGACACGTGATGATGCGTGTGCTTTGTGCGTGCGTGTCTGCGTGTCCGAACGCTAATGTGTGCGTATACATCTGAACGCACGTACATGCGTGCGCGTGTATGAGTGTAGCAGTTAACACGCTGCGCAACAAACCGGCGGCCCGAGTTTGATTCCCGCTCACGGTCACCACCAGTGACAAATATATGAACCGGTCCTGAGCCTCCCCTAGGTCGACTCAACCTCAAATGAGTGCTTGATGTGTAAAACATCGGCACTTGGGAAGCAAAGGCGGCCAGGCGTGGTCCTGGCCACCCACCTCTTTATCGGTGTGGCATGCCGTCCTTCACAGAGTGCTGCTCGCTAACAGCACTTGCCCCAAAAGGTCTGAAAAGGCTATACGGGGGATCTTTGTTTCGATTAAACCGAGTTACTGAGTGTAGCCAGTGTCGGTGATGTCAGCCCAGCCGCCGATGACTGCACACGCACAAAGGCTACACTGGGGATCTGTGTCTTTGTCTTTGTAGGTACTCACTCCACGGATATCAGCTCAGCTCCTGTGCGCTTCACCAGAAACTTTGTCACGTGGTCGTAGCTGTCTGCAATTCATACAAGCTCATGTTATCATCACCATCATCATTATAATCATCATCGTCGACCCCACTAAAGAGGCATGCTAGGCCACAGCAGACTGGGACTCGCAGATTCCCACACCTTGCCACCAGGCTCCCACGCCCCCTTCGTTTATTTTATTCAGAAGAGCTACTCGCTGTTGTTTGAAGTTCTACTGTTCCGAGTAGAGGATTGAATTGAGAACGTAATACAAACTGGGCTTTCGAGACCAATATTTTCCATAAAATTGTTTTTTTATGGGTTAGATCGCGTAAATATAAATGTATTGTTAAACCCGCCACCACCTGACACAGCTAATTGTTAAAGTTTGTCACATTACTAATTGGCTGTATCAGATGGTGGCAGGTTACACGACACATTTATATTTACGCGATCTAACCAAAACAAAAATCTCTATTTTGGATAAGTACAAACTGCTCATCCTCCGTGGCTAGAGCCAGAACCAATCTACTGGATCTCCGGTAGTCCACAAAGGTCCAGGCGTCACCAGTCCAGCTCCCGACAGAGGGATGGCAGCCTCTCATCCCCTCCATCAACAAAGTTGGGACGTTCCATACGGCCACAAACAGTGATTTGCTGTTGTTGTTTCTGTAAGAACCCCGAGGAGGGATGGGGGGTTCATACTGCACATCTGTGAAAAAGAGCTTAATAGCTCATCGGATTCCTCCATTCTAAATTAAGATTCCGAGTCTCCTGGCTCCACCAAACACAATGTGGCGAGGAGATGTTACAGACCCCGGTCTCTCCCCCGGGTGCCTCTGGCACATTCTTTCTTTGTGGGTCTGTTGAATACATTCCTAGTGGAGGGGGTTACCAACCCCTTGCAGCCATCCAGCCCCCACCACCTCCCCTCCCCGGATCCCCGTTAACAGCTGTGGTGGCTGCGAGCACCATGAGGGTTATCGACCGATTGCCAACGGCCTACAGCCTGCCCCCCCCCCATGGCATTGCTCAAAACACACAACGGTGTCACTCACCACAACGCAGTCTGACACCAGTGGGGAGAGGTGAAGGGTGTTTAGCCAGACACACACAGCACACAAGGATCCCCCGTATAGCCTTTAAGAGACCGTTGGGGCAAGCGCTGTGAGCGAGCACCTATAAAGGCCGGCACGGCACACGAGCTGGTTGGTGGTGGCCAACACCACACCCGACCACCTTTGCATCCCCAGAGGCGATGTTTTACACATCGCACCGGGTACTCATCTTAGGCCGAGTCGATCTAGGGGAGACCCAAGGCCCGGTTCAGATAATCGCCACCGTGGTGTTGGTGGCTGTGAGCGGCGATCGAACTCGGCTCGCCGGATTCGCAGTGCAGCGCGCTAACCGCTACACTGCAGCTCCCTGCCCGCGTGCACGCACCCACGCTGCCGAACATCCATCCGCCGCCGTGGAAGAAGATGATGGTGGGTCGCGGTCGGTGCGTCCCTGCCGCCGTCTCCCCCCCCGCCACTCGCCGGGGGGTGTAGATGCGCACGGGGACCCCGTCGATGCGCGTGTTGCGCACGGCCACCGCGGGGTCGTCTGGGCGTGCGTGCGACGGGCGGAGCACGGATTCCCGCAGACGCCGCATGAGCAGCACCTGGCTCCCCAAGCCCAGCCTGGAGCCCAGCCATGCCTGCGTGCGAGCGCGTGTGCGTGTGTGCGTGTGTGTGTGTGGGAGCGGTGGCGCAGTGGTTAACCGCTACGCTGCGCTACGAACCCGGCGACCCCGGGTTAGATTCCCGCTCACGGCCAACAACAGTGACGGTTATCTGAACCGGTCCTGGGCCTCCCCGAGGTCGACTCAGCCTCAAATAGGGTACCTAGTGAGGTGCGTAAACATGGCCCCTCGGGAGACAAAGGCGGCCAGGCGTGGTGGTGGCCACCCACCCCCTCATGTGCCGTGCTGTGCTGGCCTTCATAGGTGCTACTCGCTAACAGCACTTGCTCTTACAGTCTGTTGAAGGCTGAACCGGGGGGGTCTTTGTTTGGGTGAGTGAGTGAGTGTGAGTGAGTGCGTGTGATTGAGTGAGTGAGTGGGGCAGTGAGGACGTTGTATGGATGAGTGAGTGTGAGCGAGTGTGAGTGAGTGAGTAAGTGAGTGGGGCAGTGAGGACGTTGTATGGATGAGTGAGTGTGAGTGAGTGTGAGTGAGTGTGAGTGAGTGAGTGTGAGCGAGTGTGAGTGAGTGTGAGTGAGTGAGTGAGTGGGGCAGTGAGGACGTTGTATGGATGAGTGTGAGTGAGTGTGAGTGAGTGTGAGTGAGTGGGGCAGTGAGGACGTTGTATGGATGAGTGAGTGTGAGTGTGAGCGAGTGTGAGCGAGTGGGGCAGTGAGGACGTTGTATGGATGAGTGAGTGTGAGTGTGAGCGAGTGTGAGTGGGGCAGTGAGGACGTTGTATGGATGAGTGAGTGTGAGTGAGTGTGAGTGAGCGAGTGTGAGTGAGTGAGCACAGTTTTGATTTTGTACGGCAGCCCGGCGACAGTCTTTGATGTGCCATGATTAAGTGACGCTTCCCCAGAAACGTCGCCTATTCTATGCTTTTTTCTCTAAGGCCACACAGTTCTCGGCAAGGAATGCGTCGAGTTATAATCTGTTATTCCTGATAGCGCTGCGCGAGAGTGTGGGGGTGGGTGGGGTGGGGGTGGGTGGGGTGGGGGTGGGTGGGTGTGGGTGTGGGTGGGGTGGGGGTGGGGTGGGGGTGGGGTGGGTGTGGGGTGCAGAGGGTCAGGGCGAAGGTGACGGAACGCGATGTCCGTCGTTACGCCGGACGGGGCCCAAGTCCGTGAGACGCCGCGGCGCCCATCGGGCGCAAACTCCGATCGCCGTGTCACGGTGGGTCACGGTGGGTCACGGTGGGTCACGGTGGGTCACGGTGGGAGAGAGGGAGGTGGGGGGGAGGGTGGGAGGGAATAAAATGCCGTGAGCAAAGCCGAGTGTGACCGCGACCGCGACAATGAAACTTCTAGAAGAGGGAGCGTGCGAATGCGAATCACGCCGTCATCAATGCCCCGTCAGCCGTGGGTTGTGTTCGCGACGTTCCCCTGCTTGTGAAGAAGGGTCGCTGCCCGAAACGTCGCCTGTTGTATTTCTAGTATTAAGACCACGCGGTGTGGTTACTGAAATGGAGCGTGTTGCGTGGTTTGTTTGTCTTGTTAAGCCGCAGATGGAATGCTCCGAGAAAGATCATCGTGAGCAGTCGCCACTCAATCGCAAAAGGACCATGGGAGACAGCGGGGGGGGGGGGGGACAGCAGGAGGGACAGCAGGGGAGGATAGCAGGGGTGGGAGACAGCAGGAGGGGCAGGGGGAGACAGCAGGAGGACAAGCATGAGGGAGAGAGCAGGGGTGGGAGACAGAAGGGGGACAGCTGGGGGGGGGGGGGCAGGGGGAGACAGCATGGGGGGGGGGACAGCAGGGGTGGGGGACAGCAGGGGGGGTAGATAGCAGGGCAAACAGCAGGGGGGGACAACAGGGGGGACAGCAGGAGGGGGATAGCAGGGGGGGCATCAGGGGGGGACAGCAGGGGAGGATAGCAGGGGTGGGAGATAGCAGGAGGACAAGCATGGGGGAGAGAGCAGGGGTGGGGGACAGCAAGGGGGACAGCGGGGGGGGGGTCAGGGGGAGACAGCAGGAGAGACAGCATGGGGGAGAGAGCAGGGGGAGGCAGCAAGGGGGAGATAGCAGGGGTGGGGGACAGCAAGGGGGGCAGCGGGGGGGGGCAGGGGGAGACAGCATGGGGGGGGCAGCAGGGGGCGACAGCAAGGGGGAGATAGCAGGGGTGGGGGACAGCAGGGGTGGGGGACAGCAGGGGTGGGGGACAGCAGGGGTGGGGGACAGCAGGGGTGGGGGGCAGCAGGGGGGACAGCAGGGGTGGGGGACAGCAGCAGGAGACAGCAGGAGAGAGAGAGAGGGAGACAGCAGGGGAGACAGCAGGGGAGAGAGAGACAGCAGGGGAGGCAGCAGGGGAGAGAGAGAGAGAGACAGCAGGGGAGGCAGCAGGCCACACCAGGCTGGCGAGCAGCAGGTTTGCCGCCTCCAGGAGACGGAGCCGGCGGGGGGACTCCAGCCCCGGGGGGAGGGGCCCCCGCAGGAGCCGCAGCAGCAGGGACAGCAGCAGCACGGCCGGCCACAGCAGGAGGGCGCGCCACGGCATGGCCTCACTATACACCTGCAGCGGGGGGCACGAGTGGAGACACGGGGACACGTGGGGGTGAGTGGAGACACGGGGACACGTGGGGGTGAGTGGAGACACGGGGTCACGTGGGGGCGAGTGGAGACACGGGGACACGTGGGGGTGAGTGGAGACACGGGTGGTGAGTGGAGACGTGGGGTCACGTGGGGGTGAGTGGAGACGTGGGGCCACGTGGGCGTGAGTGGAGACGTGGGGTCACGTGGGGGTGAGTGGAGACGTGGGGTCACGTGGGGGTGAGTGGAGACGTGGGGTCACGTGGGGATGAGTGGAGACGTGGGGTCACGTGGGGGTGAGGGGAGACGTGAGGCCACGTGGGATCACGTGGGTGTAAGTGGAGACGTGGGGCCACACGGGGGTGAGTGGAGACGGGGGGTGAGGGTTAGGTTACATTCGACCTAAAACAATAATTCACATCGTTGTGAATTAAAATAACCAAATAGACGTGCCTCCTTCACATGGCGGTCCCTCCACATAAACAAAGTGTCATTTTACACATCCCATCAGCCCAAAGGGCCCTCTTCTGGGACTGCATAATTTCAATGTCAGCAGAGCTGGCTCGCTTGTACTAAATAAGTCACTGACTGTTACGCACAACAACTCCTCAGTGTTATTATTAGAGCAAATTGGTGGGGGGGGGGGCTATAGTTGCCATCTGTGCAGGTCAGACCAGGACAGTCCCAGAGGATTGGGATCTGTAGTGGGTTTGGTCTATGGAATATGGTGGCAACCATACCCATTCATTCACTCACTTATTCATCAATTCCTTCATTTGCCGAGTCACTCATTGAGTCACTCACTCACCGAGCCACTCACTCACCCAGCCACTCACTCAGACACTCACTCAAGTTATTCACCCAGCCACTCACTCACTCGGTCACTCACTCAGCCACTCTCCGACTCAGCCACTCACCCATCCTCCGACTCAGCCACTCACCCACCCATTAGGCTTGGAACCTGTCCGGGAATTGGCATCGGTTTGCCAGGTGGCAGGAATTGCCCGGTTACCCAGGTCTGGTAACCGGTATCGTGTGTTGATAGACCCAGTGATGACCGAGAAACTGTGAGCGCTTCCATGGATTTTTTTTTTTAGGCAATGTGCGGGCCCCGATACATCATCATGCTGTGACGCACGCACTGTCAACATAAGCCGAACCGGTTATGAAAAGCAGGAGATATAGAAAGATGGGGTAACGGGCTAGCTGCTTTCTCTCTTTAGTTATTTTAAAACCGCATTTCTCCTTTCTTCTTTACTTGGTTGTTGTTAAAACTATTTTCCGCCTTGCCACGCACAGCGCCACTGAGAACGATTTCTTCACGGGTGCTTTATACATTTTAATTATTGTTCTTATTAACCGTACAGAGGTCCCAGCGAATGGGGGGGGGGGGGGGAAATGGCAGCCTCCACGGATTTCAACTTCTGCGTGGGAAGAGGTCAAATCAGGTTCAAGGTTGAGGGTTGACCCCAGCTTCGGGTTGAACATTGACACACCTGTCAATCCCTTAACAGTGCCCCCTACCTTAATACAGACCAATTCAGACCTTATTGGTCAACCTGTGCCCCTTACCAATCTCAACGTCCATCCTACAAAGTCCAATAACAAGGGAGAAACACAAATAGACGCAAAAAATAAACTTGTTTTGTTGCCCGTATTGGTAACGGCCGTACGCCGTATGGACCTGCAAACTCAATTTCCCTGTACAAGAAGACGGGGTAAACCGTCTGGGTTGACGGCTGTGCAATTGACGAACCACAACCGCATAAGTTAGCCAACTTCATTCGCCAGCGGATTGCAAATGTACGGGTAGAGTACAGAGCAGACCGGTCAAAATATATGTACGAAAAAAATAAGAATGTGGGTTTTACCCTTTCTGGCAATAAAACAGGAGGTGTTTAAGATGTCCAAACACCCAACAGAAACATTTTGCGAGGAATCAAGTACTCCATTAACCACACACACACACAGTACTTGCGTTGAACATGCAAACAAACATGCTCTGGTGATAATAGATGGCATTGTCTTTGAAAATGATTGGTCTACACCAGACCCAGCTGCCCTGGTCATGGCCCAGTCTCACCGCCAGTGTGAGAGAGCAGAGAACGCAACAACAGGCGAACATCTTCTTGGTTTTGATTTAAAGCTTTCGTGACTGCAGGAATTCATATTCTTGGTTCCTTTCGGTAAAGTCATGTAGAAGGGAAACAATAAAATGTTAAAAATATAAAACAATATTTTTCTTGCTGTGGTTTCACACCTGATGATGATTGCTTGTGTTGCTGTCGAAACGTCGTGAGAATTTTATTGTTTTACAGTTTTATTATTTTGTTGTTTCCCTTCTACGTGACTTTACCGAAAGAACCAACATAATAAAATAAATATCTCGCGACGTTTCGGCCACAACACAAGCAGCCGAAACGTCGTGAGAATTTTATTTTATGTTTTAGTTTTATTGTTTTATTGTTTCCCTTCTACGTGACTTTACCGAAAGAACCAACATAATAAAATGAATATCTCGCGACGTTTCGGCCACAACACAAGCAGCCGAAACGTCGTGAGAATTTTATTTTATGTTTTAGTTTTATTGTTTAATTGTTTCCCTTCTACGTGGTGACTTTACCGAAAGAACCAAGAAGATGAATCCCTGCAGTCACGAAAGCTTTAAATCGAAACAGGCGAACAGTACAAGGACAATGCCACCACACGTATCGGGGACACTTTGAGCTCGGGGTAAGCAGCTACAAAACGGGACCTTTTTTTGGCCAGGATCAAAGTATGAAAAAATAAGAATTAGGGTTCTCTACCCCTTCTGGCAATAAAACAGGTGTTGAGATATATTCTTAGTTTTTTCGGTAAAGTCACGTGACTTTACCGAAAAAACTAAGAATATGAATTACTGCAGTCACGAAAGCTTTAAATCAAAATTTAGGTGTTGAGATGTTCGAACACCAAAAACAGAAGCCTTTCGCAAGGTATCAAGTCTCCAATAACCACACACAAAGTATTTGTAGTGAACTGATATCAGAGAATATTTGTTTGCATGTTCAACACGAGTATGCGTTGTTCATTACAGCACTTGATCCCTTGCAAAAGGTTTATGTTTGGTGTTTGAATATCTTAACACCTCCTCCTGTTTTTATTGACAGAAGGGGTAAAAAACCCTCATTCATATTTTTTTCATACTTTGATACTGGCAAAAAGGTCCCATATACATGTGTGTTTGCGCTGTAGGCAACGTTTCAGGCAACGGACCTCCTTCATAGCACAAATATAAAGTAGACGACGTTTCAGGTCAATGGTCCTTATTCACGTGATGTGGTTTGTGCGACACTCCCAAATGCAGCAGTGGTAGTGGCATCAGCGGATCATTCGTTTTGGAGGGAACTCGACTTTACCTCAAGCAAACCGTTTATTTTTTTTAACAATTATTTTTTTTTACCCTTGCGATTTTAGTTACATTTTTTATCGATTTAATAGTTTATTTCCCTCACAAAATGTGTATTAAATAACAGAGTCAGTCATTAAAGTCGGTACGTGACTGGCAAAAATATCGGTTACGTTGGCGATGGTGGTAATTGTGACATAATAATTGTCCTTATTGTTAATTAGTTGCGGTGTTAATCGTGCGTGCTGAGTGGTATGCTGTCAACTAATACTGACCATCACTCACACGACAACCATCAACAACCAAATAATATTTACCACTACAGCAACCATCACGAATACTGTACTACCAGTAACAATCACCACAACAACAACCATCACCAATAATAACTACTACCAATACAACAACCAGCATCAACGACACTACAACAACCACTACAACAACCATCACCAACACTTCAACTACCACTACAACTACCATCACCAATAATAACTACTACCACTACAACAACCAGCATCAACGACAATACAACAACCATCACCAACACTTCAACTACCACTACAACTACCACTACAACTACCACTACAACTACCATCACCAATAATAACTACTGCCACTACAACCATCATCAACGACAATACAACAACCATCACCAACACTTCAACTACCACGACAACTACCACTACAACTACCATCACCAATAATAACTACTGCCACTACAACCATCATCAACGACACTACAACAACCACTACAACAACCATCACCAACACTTCAACTACCACTACAACTACCATCACCAATAATAACTACTGCCACTACAACAACCAGCATCAACAACCACTCCAACAACCATCACCGACACTACAACTACAACTTCAACTACCACTGAGCGGGACTCGAACCCGGGTCGCCGGGTACGTAGCGCAGCGCGCTAACCGCTGCGCCACCGCTCACCCTCACTCGCCCACACTCACTCACCCACCCACAGCTCGGCCACACGCCACTCACCTGGTGAGGAGCTGCCTCACCGCGAGCTTAACTCCACTGCCCCTTCAGCTGGGCCCACGTGGAACCGCGGAGGTGGTGGAGACGGGGGAGGAGCTTGCCGGGAAGGTGGCGGGGGGGGAGGAGCTTGTGTGAGGGGGCGGGCCTGTATGTAAGGGGGGGGAGCTTGCGTCTGAGGTGGCTGTGGGGGGGAGGGGCCTGTGTGTTAGGGGGCAGGGCCTTGTGTGAGGATGGGGCGGGCCTGTGTGCGGGGGGAGGGGTCTGTGTGTGAGGGGGCGGGGCTTCGGTGTGAGTGGTCTGCGTGTGAGGAGGGGCCATAACATAAGGGGAGCGGTGGCGCTGTGGTTAGCGCGCTCTGCGTTACCTTGATTCCCGCTCACGCCAACCAAAACCAGTGAGGATTATCTGAACCGATCCTTGACCTCCCCTAGGCTGACTCAGCCTCAACTGAGTACCCGGTGCGGTGTGTAGTAAACATCGCCACGAGGGAGACAAAGGCGTCCGAGGCGTGGTGCTGGCAAACTCCCTCCCCGTGTGCCACAGTGCCAGCCTTCGTAGGTGCTGCTCGCTAACAGCACTTGCCCCAAACAGTTTGTTAAGGCTACACGGGGGATCTCTGTCTTCGGGGCCATCACACAGCATCCCCGTGAAAGTATAGCGTGAATACTAAATGTTACCATCATCATCATCGTCGTCAGCCAGGGTCGATACAGTGACGAGCAGTACTACTTCGTGGAAAGTCGACGTGCCAGCGGTTAATAAATCGAGTCCAGCCGCCGTCATCATCCAATCACCGGCCACGGTCAATCCACTACAGGATGAAGTCCTCCCTCCCCAAGCGGTGATCGCCACCTTTTACGATCGCTGCTGCACGCGGACTGATTTCCCCGCTCCGTCTCCACGTGGTGAGATGTTAACTACCTCGCCCGGTGTGCAGGTGGTCGTGGGTTCGATCCCGACCCTGACACCTGCTGCTGCTGCTGTATATTTTCAGTCTGCGTGCCTCTCACTCACTCCATCCCTCCCTCCCCGTGGTTTAGGGATTTTTTTTTCCTCGGGGTCCTCCACATTTCGAATCAGCATCACGCCTTCAAAGCATTTGGGCTGACGATAAATTCCTTACGTGATGATGATGATGACGTGCCACTTCGTTGAGCTATCGTTTAGTGCGAGCCGGGTAGCTTCATTATTTAAAAATAAAAAAACGAGCTACAACAGTGTAGGTCGGAGTGGGCCTTACCAGAACGAATAAAATAGTGTATAGTTTTTATTTGAAGCTTTTGTTACTGCAGGAATCCACGCTGGTTGGTTCTTTATGCCCCCTCTCCCCTCTACCGAGGCCTACTATAAAACCTCGTGCCACGGCAGATCTTTCGCCCACTTCAGCAGTTTTTTTTCCTGCTGTGGTTGTCCCACCTGATGACGATTGCTTGTGTTGCGATCGAAACGTCACGTGATCTATTGTTTTTCTACCTACGTGACTTTGGGGCCGTCCATAAATGACGTCACGCACCTGTGGGGGGGGGGGGTGGGTGGGGGTCAGACATTTGTGACGATGTGTGACGAGGAAGGGGAGGGGGGGTTTGAGAAATATGACGTCACATCAAAATGCGCAACTTTAAATAAATATAGACAACACGTTCTACTTAATTAAATATACTTTTTTTTTATAAATGTTTTCTCCTACAACATCAGAGTGCAGCGCCACGTTAAATACGCACCACAATGACAATAGTTTAAAGCGATTTAAAGCATGTTTCTATATATTTTTGGGGGGGAGGGCGGCAGAGCTTCATGACGTCATATTTGCGGGGGGGGGGGGGGGGGGGGTCTGACTTTTTGTGACGTCGTTTGACGAAGGGGGGGGGGGGCTCAAAAATCGTCCAAAATCGCGTGCACCAAAGAGTGTGGATTCTTGCAGTCACGAAAGCTTCAAATCTCGTGTGGTCTATTGCTTAGTTCTTAGATGGACATCCTGTGGGACCCGCACCTCGTGGCTGCCAATCCGTTACTAGTCTCGACCACGTGACGCCATCGCCCATGGTGGCCGTGGCGCGTTTCAGCCCGAGCCACACTCACTCCCCTTCACAGCCGGACACCTGTGCAAAGAAAAGGAGCTTTGTAGATTCTCGGATTTCTCCAGTCGAGAGATAAGAGATTCTGAGTCCGAACGGTACGGATTGGTGTCTCCAACCCGCGCGTGTGTTCTCTAAACCACGCCCTCCTCTCTCCCTGCCTCTCAGCGCAATTCCAAGCACTCCACTATGCTTTCATCATCATCATCACGGTCTCTCCACTGCTGGATGAAGATCAATGTGGTGGTGATGTCTCGAAGCTGCGTGTCTTCTCTAATCCGCGCGCTCCTCTCTCCCTGCCTCTCAGCGCAATTCCAAGCACCCCACTATGCTTTCATCATCATCATCACCACGGTCTCTCCACTGCTGGATGAAGATCAATGTGGTGGTGATGTCTCGAAGCTGCGTGTGTTCTCTAAACCACGCGCTCCTCTCTCCCTGCCTCTCAGCGCAATTCCAAGCACCCCACTATGCTTTCATCATCATCATCACGGTCTATCCACTGCTGGATGGAGATCCATGCGATTCATCCGCGTGTGTTCTCTAATCCACGTGTCACTCACACGCACGCGTCCGTCCACGCTTCTCCCGCGTTTGCAATCTGCATTTTTCGCCCCTGTCCCCGGTGGTTCTGAAACGGCCAGTGAATGCACGCGGTTCTCCGTGTCTGCACTGATGGCGACGCGATTTCATGCGCCGCTACAGCCATAGAGGGCAGCAGAGGATCAGGCATATTGCCTCTGCCGTCCAAACCACTCGAGAGAGTCAACGACTTCTAGATTTGAAGCTTTACGTGACTGCAAGGATCCATATACTCTTTGGTTCTATTCGGTAAAGTCACGTAGGTAAAAAAATAAAACAACAAAAATCACGACTTAAAGCTTTCGTGACTTGCAAGGATTCATCTTCTTTGGTTCTTTCGGTAAAGTCACGTAGAATGAGAATACAATAATAAATTGATAAAATAAAATAACACAATAATATTCTCACGACGTTTCGGCCACAACGCAAGTGGCCTTCTTCAGGTGAAGGAACAGAACTGTCGGGACGACAGAACCAAAGAGGATAGAGTCAACGTTTACCAGGATACGTGAAGGGGCCGTCCATAAATGACGTCACGCGATTTTGGACGATTTTTTACCCCCCCCCTCGTCACGCGGCGTCACAAAAAGTCAGACCCCCCCTCAAATGTGACGTCACAAAGCTCTGCCCCCCCCCCCCAAAAAATAAACCATGCTTCAAATCGCTTTAAACTATCGTCATTGTATCGCGTATTTAATGTGGCGCTGGACTCTGATGTTGTAAGAGAAAACATTTATCAAAAAGTCTATTTAGTTAAGTAGAACGTGTTTGTCTATATTTATTTTAAGTTGCGCATTTTGATGTGACGTCACATTTGTAACCCCCCCCACCCACCCTCGTCACACATCGTCACATATGTCCCCCCCCCCACAGCAGGTGCGTGACGTCATTTATGGACGGCCCCAAAGCGAATCGTCGACTCTGAACCGACGGGCTTGTCGTAAGCATTTGAACGTATTGGTGTTGAGCGGTATATTCTAAATGAACGCGTTAAGATCGAACTTCCCGACATTCATCATTTACCTCCCCGCGATTCGCAAAGCCGCGGTCACAACATCTCACGGGTTTGATGGGTGTGGTGGTGGTAGTGGTGGCGCGTCAAAATCAGTTCGTCGGTGATGCTCGAAGCGGTCGCAATACGGAGAAGTTTAACCCGAGCGGCTGACCACGGGAAACTTCCGCGGTCTGTTGCCGTGGAGCGGCAGCGCCCCGGCCTGACTACGATGGGGCTCGGCTCCCGTGGTCCCAAGGGCGACGGGAGCCCCAGACGCGATCGGGACTCTTCCTCGATTCGTGGTTTTTTTTTTTCACTTTTCCCGGTGGCATCAAAAGATCGCGGCGACCCGTGGTGGCGTCACCACGAGTCGCACGTTCCAGCGGCGAAGCGGCCGCCTGAATCTGAGCGCACCTTGCGATGGAGAGTTCCAGCGGCTCACGGCGATCATCGTGAGGCCGCTGATTCAATGAGGAGCCCGCTGTGTTTGTCACGCTGCACGCACCGGTGTGGTACCGCCAATACGTCCATTTGTATGGATGATCACGCCGCAGCATTTGCCAGGGCGACCGCCGGAATTCGAACAGGGAGCCTCTTGCAGCAAGCCGCGAGCGCGCCACCATCCTCCACCCGAGTCTGAGTGGATGATGTCACCGGTCAGGTCTTGTCCCCATCAGCACCATCTACAACATCATCATAGCCACCACCACCGTCACCAACCCAAAGACAAAGATCCCCCGTATAGGCTTAAACAGGCTGTTGAGACAAGTGCCGTTAGCGAGTAGCACCGATGAAGGCCGGCACGGCACACGAGGGGGTTGGTGGCCAGCGCCACGCCCGACCGCCTTTGTCTCCCCTGTGGCGATGTTTTACAGATCGTACCGGGTACTCATTTGAGGCTGAGTAGATCTCGCAGAGGCCCATGGTCGGTTCAGATAATCGCCACCGGTGTTTGTGGCTGTGAACGGAAATCGAACTCGGATCGGCGTGTCCGTAGGGCAGCGCGCTAACCGCTGCACCACCACTCCCCGTCACCCACCCCTCCCCACGGACACCAGGTTGGCGAATGGGGTTTATTAACAATAACGCCGTCAACATCACCACCACCAACAATGACGTCACCATCACCACATCCACCACGATGACATCACCATCGCACCCCTCCCCATTCCCGTCCCTTTGAAAAATAATTTAATACCTCAGTGGGCTAGACCTGGTAAGTTTAAAAATAGTTTCGTTTTATTTGTATTTTTAAGTGATTTTGTGTTGTCACCTTTCCTATACTTTGCGCTCCTGTCGTGTTTGTGTGTATTGTTATTGTAGCGTTCTGACCCCGTGCCCACTGACTGAACGTCTGTGAAATAGAGCTTTATAGCTCATCGGATTCCTCCAGAAGAAATAAAGATTATGTGGTTGGTTAGTGGAGTGTGTGGCTGGGTAATGGGGCGT